TATTATGCTGGAAGTTCACATGTAAAAAATTCGAACTCCAGTATATTATGTTGGAATATTTTCTCAATTTTGAACAGTATTTTCGTTCAGATTTATCTTTGCATGAAAAGTGGTTAAATTTCGATTACTTTGAAATTGTGGCTATTTTTCAATTACCACTTGTAAATCTGACTATTTTTGAATTTCACACTTTATTATGGTAAAAATAGCTGGGCTAGTCAGTTTTCGGATTGGTAATCGAAAAATAGCCACTATTTTATGCAAAGATAAAATCTGGACAAAAATATCCTAGCTGAAACACGAAAAATCCCAGCATAATATGCTGGATTATGGAGTTTCAGCGTATAAAATTCTAATATATTATGTTGGAACTCCAACACATTATGCTGGAATCTCATATGTAAAGAATTCGAGCTCCAGCATATTGTGCTGGAATTTTTTCGGATTTTTAAGGATATTTCTGTTCAAATTTTATCTTCACATTTTATTTCAACTTCTTTGAGTGACTAAATTTTGATTGCTTTTGAAATTGTGATTATTTTTTACTTATCACTAGTAAATCAAGTTATTTCTTATCCTTTTCCTTTATTATGAGAATGAAATATTCTTAGACCAGTTATTGTGTGATTTTCTCATTTTGGACTCATCAATCGATATTAAGACGATTGATTGTGCTAAGGTAAGGATGTATATTGTCGGGCCTGCACTGGACCAAATGCGGACTTGGCCCTACTTTGGAATGCTAACCCATCGTGAAAATTCAAAAAATAGCAGAAATATGACACTTTATGGTGGTCTTTAAAGTGTAACCTATGGATAAACGAGGAATACCACTTGTTAAACATGAATTTCTACCCATAAGGCAAGCAACGACAAAAATTGAGACTATTCACTTTGAAGGCTATATGTGCTACCCGTGAAAATTGGCTACCTACAATGGTGTAAAGAGTTCTACTAATATACTTTTAAGATAGGAAAATCTACTTGTATATCCATGGAAACACCAACTAACACAATAACATTGAACTATATATATCTTTCATTAAGTATTCATTTTAAGTTTTTTTATTCATTTTATAAATATTTAATATCATTGTATGAAAATCTTAGCAAATCTCACTTTTAAAGGGATTGACATTTTAATTGCACACACGATTTAGGTAATTTCTTTGTCTCTTCCTTACATGAAGTCATCAATTTGATCTTATGCAATTATGATGATCTTGTTTGTTTTTCTACAACATTATGGATAATTCCTCTTCTTTCTTAGTAGGAAGTGTGATTATTTTTTGAATATTGAAACTTAACATGAAACAGTCTACAAAGAGCAAAATAGATAATGAGGATCCATATATCCAAGCTAATTAATAACTTGTAATTAATTATTTAATTGAGGCATAATTATTTCTATATTTTAATTAAAGCAAAGAAACTCCCAAAATCTCATCAGAGTTACCTGAAGCTATGAGCAGGACTGCAGGAGTGACAAAGATCCTACTATCTATCTTTGTCATTTTTAAAATTTTGCACATATATCCTTGTCATATATAGAGAGAGCAAGAGAGAGTCAGACATCTCTATAACATCTTTATATAATCATTCATTACAAAAGCTAATTTTTTTAACGGATTTTTATGTTATTTTATAATATATGTACTCTATAACAGCACTTCACTGTAACAGTCAAAATATATCGGAACAAATGACTTTGTTATAGAGAAGTTTGACCGTATATACAATATAAATTTTTAACACCTAAAAATTGATGGATAGACAAAGAGGATAATAATTTGAGATCTGTGTGGATATTTTCATTTCTTGCTCCCCACTTTTGTACTATTCTTTCTTGGTTCATTTAACCTGCCCACTGCCTTTCTCCTTTCTTTTTCATCACACCCATTCAATCTGTAATGATTCTCTAAACAAATTGACTTGGAGAAAGACCGACAACAAGGTTTCAAGGCTTGTTTTTTCGATACAAAATTAGCTCTAAAAATTTTCAGAAAAAAGTTTCATAATCTATCTAAACGGATTGACTCGAAAGGAGACATGAGGAGGGGATTACTAGATGAGAATATAACTTTCACTTGCATGTATTAAGCCAAGCTAATTATAATTTAGCTGATCATCTACCTAAATAGTATCGGTTTTAATTTGAAGGATTCAATGGGTAGTAAATCAGTAAATCATTAGGAGGTAACAGCATATCTTGACAATAGCAACATCTTTTCATTTTTCTCTGTATTAGGTAGGACACTGGCGTCACTCAGATGTGACTCCTCATTAAGATTATCAAATACTACGAATGTAAACCTCGTAAATCATCCTCAATATAACAAACATTATCCACTTTTCAACCTGAGGAAGCAAATTATTGCAAAGGGAGGAATTTTGTTACCTTCTGTCAACCTTTCATTAATTTCAGAAAGCAATGCTAGCTCAGAAATGCTCAAAGTAGAACAAGGACCGTTTATATCTCTCTGTGTTTTTATGTGCTAACAAAATCTCATATTGATAGCAGAAAAGATTAGGAGTCTACGTATAAGGTGTAGGAATCTCTTAATGGTGTGCAACCTTTTGGGAAAAATTATGCGGGCTAGGCTCAAAGCGGACAATATTACACAATGTTAAGAATATCTTTGGAATGGTTTAGCCCAACAATTGGTATTAGAGCCCAAATTCGACGCGACGAATATGATGATGACTGAGTGATGGTGGCGGGCTCGGTTTACTTGCCCTTACGAGTTAGGAGACGCGCGCACAAGAATCTAGTTGCAAGCTTGGTTGCCATAAATATTCTAATGATATGGGTGACATATAGTGAATCTCGAAAATTGACTCGTGAATCGCGGTAATGGGACACGTGAAACTTGGTGCAAAGGGGAGACCCGTGGGTCATAATGATGAGCTACGTGGAACTTAGTTCGAGAGGGAGACTGTTGAGTGTGCGAATAAAGTCCACATCTGTAGCTGAAAAGATTAGGAGCCTACATATAAGATGTAAGAATCTCTTAATAGTGCGAGATTTTTTAGAGAAAACCATGCGAACTTGGCCCAAAACAAACAATACTACGCCATGCTAGAAGTATCTCTGAGTCGGTTAAACCCAAGTTTCATCTTCGGGAGGCTTAATACATTAAATCTGGAGAGGGATTGATTGAAATAAAGTGGTGGACAAAAGGCTGTCATATTCATGACCCTTAATCACACATTAGTTAGATTGACCAAATCGAAATTGTCCTTTCACTAAGTATAATTGCTGTATGAATTGAGACCCCTTTCTTTTCTTATGCTAAAGGGACAAATGGTTTCATAAGGGGTAATCATTTACAGTTGCACGAACAAGAGCAAGTGAATTTAGTCATAAGGAGTAAAGAAACTAAGCAATATTAGAAGCTACATATAAGGACTGCCACCTTTTGCCATTTGAAGGTCAAAAACAACTGATGATACAAATATCTTCCCGATTAGCATCATATTTAAATCATAATTTCAAGCTACTATCTTGAATCTTGATATCAGTAATGATCATTTAAGCTCCTACTCTAGTTTCTTTGCCCCTTTAAGTGGTTCGGAATTGTTCAGGATTATATGAACTGAATGCATATCTTGTAAACTTTTCGAATTAGCTAGGGTTTACACAGCATGTTAAATTGGACCTAAAACAACGAAAAAGAATTAGTAGGTTGGGTTTCAAAAATTTGTGGTCAGGAATATGCATATAACAGTTCTGTTAAGCCATAGCTATTGAAAAATGTATCGCACTAAAATGAGAGTACACCAACACAAACACAAGACAAATAGACAGATTTTTTTGACTTCTTTTTAGAAACTTCATAGACCTAGTGCATACACAAAATTGCATAACTACAAATGCTTAAAGAGTGAACAAAGTAACAATTCCATTGTGCATCAACAACTACACCTCAGGCTTAAACAAAATTGGGGTCAGAGATATCGACATTATCATCATCATGCCAGATTGACATTATTTATTCCATTGTGCATATATCTATGTTTTACGTGATTAAAATTATTTATTTTATCAAGAATAAAGGATCTGTGAGTCGTACTGCTTATGGAAAATAAGAATCGCAAGCACACTGATTCAAACCTAGGGAGGATCAAGGATGCATGATTTCTATCTATATATACAAAAGCCCTTAGGAATGGCTAGACTATAAAGAATTGAGTTTCTCTCATTTTTTCCAAATTAAATTTTGATCCCTTGGGGCTTTGGCCTAGTGTTTCCCAACGTTTTTTTTATGTATTGATCTTTGTTTCAATAAGCTCCATCAATACTATGCGGTGGTTTGATTTAAAAATTAAAATAAAAAGGCATAGCGCTATGTACAGACAGAAAAGATTTTCACAAAGAGAACAAATGAAGTACAGATTATTTTACATTACCAACAGAGAATCAAACAACGTTCTTCTGGCCGAGTAGCACAAATTGAAGAAGGTTTCTGTGCCTGAAAAAATTTCCTTGCCCTGCACAGCTACACTTCCCACAGCTTATTCCCACAAAATTGGAAGTCTGTAAATTGCTGCTGTAGGATAAATAAATAAAAAACAAAAACAGTAACCACATAATCAGAAGCTGGTGAAAATATACAAATAAACAATCATCTATTGAAATCCTAAAAAATCATGTTGTTTAATTATTGAACCCACCTGATCATGGGAAATTCCAACTGCATTTTTCTGATAGTTGAAGATACTAAATTGACTCCAATCTCCATAATTATCCACCAAATTACAGTAATCAGCACTGTTCTCTTTGGATTTACCGAGGCTTTTCTTTATTTTTGTTCTCTCTCTAGCCCTAGCCCTTGCTTGATTCCTCGTTTCCCTTGTAATAAGACGATCAAATGCAGCTCTACGAGCAGTTTTAGCCGTCTTTTTCGAGGCTCCTTTAGCAGTTTTCAGCTTCTTTTTATAAGTAATAGAGAAAGATTCATCAGTTCCTGATATAACCTCACACTCAGAAATAGAGGATATTGCAGTACTAATTGCACCAATTCCATTAGTAGTACTGCAGCTTTGTTTAGGAATGCCTCCTCCTTTATTGCCTTTGGCTAGCTCTTCGATTTCAGACTCCGATTTGATAAGCAACCATTCTACAGTTTTACTTGCCTTATCGAACCCCAACATGTCTTGTAAACTGAAAAACTTGCGAGCTGCATCAAGGGAAAGTCTCATCCTTCGGTCTCTGAGGCCACGAGCAGTGTTAATCTTGCTATGTCGATCTTTATTGGAACATTTCTTGTTTTTCCGTACATGAATAATACTAATGGTGCTTCTCATGTCATTTCTTTTGTTTTCGCGGCCTTCTTCTACTTCTTCATTTCCTCCCCAACACTGACTGTTTGTAACAGCTCCTGTGTCATAAAGAACTTTTACAGTATCAGTATTGATGACAGTTTCTTCGTTAGTAACATTCTCAGTGCAATCAGCTAAGATGTCAACACTCTGATCTTCTATCAAAGGCACTTGTTGCTGTTGAAGGAAATGGTCAGGATAATATTGGAAGAATAGTTCGTCTCCATATTGCATACAAGGAGAAGGGATGTTGAAAATGGGGCTGTAGTTGCAGCTGTTGCTTGGCGGATACATTTGTTATATATATATATA